CTGCAGCACCTTCTTTGGCTCTGAGGAGCGGACGGTGACCTGTGTGACAGTCCTGGAGCCGGAAGCCCCGCCCAGCCCAGACGTGCCACAGGCAGCCACCCACCGGGTCGTGGAGCTCAGGCCCCCTTCCCGGTCCCGCTCCACGTCTAGCTCCCGAAGCAGGAAGAAGGCCAAGAGGAAGAGGGCATCCAGAGAGCACCGGCGGACACGCTCCAGGACACGCTCCGGATCCAGGGACAGGAGCTCGAGGTCAGGGTCGCCGTCGGTGGGCGAGGAGCACCTCAGGAGGCAGCGGTCCAAGGCCAAGAGCCGGCGGTCCTCCAGCGACCGCTCCAGCAGCCGAGAGCGAGCCAAGAGGAAGAAAGCCAAGGACAAGAGCCGGGAGCACAGGCGGGGCCCCTGGGGCCGCAGCCGGAGGACATCTCGGTCACGCTCGGGGAGCCCGGGCAGCTCTTCCTATGAGCACTATGAGAGCAGGAAGAAGAAGAAGCGGAGATCAGGGTCCAGACCTCGGGGAAGGGAATGCTCCCCCATAAGCAGCCTGGAGAGGGTCCGCAGGCACAAGCACCAGCGGGAGCGCAGCCGCGAGCGGCTGGACTGGAAGGAGACTGCAGTGCGGTCCCGAGACCGGAGGAAGCGGCGGTCCCGGTCGCCAAGCTCAGAGCACAGGGCACGGGAGCACAGGCGGCCACGGTCCCGAGAGAAGCGGCCCCGCAGCCACTCCCAGTCCCCAGAGAGGAAGGAAGCTGTGAGGGAGGCGTCCCCAGTGCCCCTTCCACAGGGGGAGCTGGTGCAGGAAGACCTCCCAGCCAGGTCACCAGCCTTGGTGGAAGCTCCTATCTCACCAGAGGTGGCTGTGGCCGACCAGGTCCCCCTGCAGGCCCCCCCTGTCCTGGAGGTGGCAGCCGAGTGCACGCCTGACGACCTGGATTATGGCGACTCCGTGGAGGCGGGACACGTCTTTGACGATTTCTCAGATGAAGCTGTTTTCATACAGCTTGATGACATGAGCTCGCCACCTTCTCCCGAGAGCACGGACTCTTCCCCAGAGCGCGACCTTCCACCGAAGTCTGCGTTGCCCGCAGCCAGCCTGGCCGCCATCCAGAGGGAGGTGTCGCTGATGCACGATGAAGATGTTTCACAGCCCCCACCCCTGACAGAGGACCCCCAGGAGCTGCACGTGGCTGAGAAGACTGAGGTGCCCAGTTCCCTGGGTGTGGCACCTATGGGGAAGGAGGACGGCCCCACTGTGAGTGGGCGGGTACAGGAGGTGGTTTCACAGACCCCCCTGCTGCGGACCAGAGCCCTGGTGAAGCGGGTCACCTGGAACCTGCAGGAGTCGGAGAGCAGCGCCCCCGTCGAGGACAGAGCCCCCCGTGAGTAGGGCCCCTGACCCCATTGAGGACAGGGCCCCTAGGGAATCGGGCCCCAGACCCCACTGAGGACAGAGCCCCCAGAGAATAGGACCCTGGACCCCACTGAGGACAGGCCCCCAGTGAGTAGGGTTAGGACCCCGGCTCCTGTCCGGGACAGGCCCCGCCAGTCAATAGGTTGTAGGGGCCCGGCCCCTGTCCAGGATAGGCCCCTAGTGACTTCGACCCCTGTAGAGGACAGGGCCCCTGGGTGAATAGGGCCCTGACCGCCACAAGGGAGCTTCTGAGGCCAGGGAAGAGTGGGATAGTGGGGGCGGGGTCTCCCTGCGGGTGGGCCGAAAAGGTCGTGGTAGGGGTTCAGTGGCTAGGAGCTGGCATATGTCTCCCCTCCCCTGGCTGCTCTGTGGTCCTTTTCCTGGTGCTTTTCTGGATTTTTCCAGCTGTGAGAAGCATTCTGGGCATGGGTGGACACACAAAGCACCCACCTCCCTGTCTGTCGGGCTCCCAGGGGCACCACTTCACAGGCCACAGAAGCCCCAAGAAGGAGCCTGGGATGTGGAGGATGTGGCCCCCACAGGGGTCTGGCAGGCGTTCTCCGAGCCGCCCCCTCCTGGTCATGTGATTCCGGAGCCTGGGTTTCCAGACACAGACCCCTCTCAGGTGGGTGCCTGGGCTGGAGGGCTGTGGGCTGTGGGCAGTAGCCTGGCACCCATGCCACACACGCTCCAGCAGGCTGGGGCTGAGGCCTCATGGCTCCTGGGCACAGGGCTGCCAGTTGGAAGGCCCTATGCTCAGTGGGGCATGTCCTTCCCAGGTTTACAGCCCCAGCCTGCCTCCGGCCCTGGCCCAGCCATCAAGCATCCCACCCTGCTCGCTGGTCAGCCAGCCTACAGTCCAGTTCATCCTGCAGGGGAGCCTGCCCCTGGTGGGCTGCGGGGCAGCACAGACCCTGGCCCCAGTGCCCACTGCCCTGACCCCAGCCTCAGAGCCAGGCGGTCAAGCCACTGCAGCCAGCAACTCGGAGGAGAAGGCCCCCACTCCTAGGCTAGCTGTCGAGAAAACCAAGAAGGAGGAGGTGAGTCCTGCCTCTTCCCCTTCCCCCATGTTCCCATCTTATTTTGAAACTAAAGTTGTTGGCCGGGCACGGTGACTCAAGCCTGTAATCCCAGCACTTTGGGAGGCTGCGGTGGGCAGATCACCTGCAGTCAGGAGTTAGAGACCAGCCTAACCAACATAGAGAAACTCCATGTCTACTAAAAAATAATATAAAAGTTGGCCGGGGGTGGTGGTGGGTACCTGTGATCCCAGCTACTCGGGAGGCTGAGGCAGGAGAATCACTTGCACCCAGGAGGTGGAGGTTGCAGTGAAACGTTTGCGCCAATGCACTCTAGCCTGGGCGACAGCATGACTCCGTCTCAAAAAAAAAGTTGAGGAGCGGAAGCTGGTCCTTGTGCCTCTGAACTGCAAGAGTGTCCAGAACCACAGTTCCTGTGGCCAGAGGGACTCCAGGCCCCTGCCCAGCCATGTCCAGCATGACACACATGCTCCCTGTAGTACGTGGCGTGACGCGTGTGTTCCCTCTAGTACATGAAGAAGCTGCAGGTGCAGGAGCGCGCAGTGGAGGAGGTGAAGCTGGCCATCAAGCCCTTCTACCAGAAGCGGGAGGTCACCAAGGAGGAGTACAAGGACATCCTGCGCAAGGCTGTGCAGAAGGTGGGCTGTGCACGCATGTCCTGTGGGAGCTCTGGGTCCCAGGCAGTGCAATGCTGCGGTGTGGCAGATCAGTGCTGTCTCATCGACACGGACTTTGGGGTGAAACCATGAGTGTGGGTCTGAGGTCAGCCAACCAGGTCAGGGGTCTGCGTTGCCACATCCTGGCTGCAGGCCTGGGGCTGCCCCTGCAGATGGTTAGGGAAGAGGTGCTTCGGTGCCTGCAAGGCGCACGCAGATATGTTCTAAGGTATTTAAAATTACCCAAGGCCAGGCATGGTGGCTCAACGCCTGTCCTTCCAGTACTTTGGGAGGCCGAGGTGGACAGATCACCTGAGGTCAGGAGTTTGATATAAGTCTGGCCAATATGGTGAAATCCCGTTTCTACTAAAAATAAAAAAAAAAATTAGCTGGGCGTGGTGGTGCATGCCTGTAATCCCAGCTACTCGGGAGGCCAAGGCAGGAGAATTGCTTAAACCCAGTAGGTAGAGGTTGCAGTGAGCTGAGATGGCACCACTGCACTCCAGCCTGGGTGACAAAGCAAGATTCCATCTCAAAAAAAAAAAAAAGTTGCCCAGCTTAAAGATAGAACAAGACTCCCAGAGGTGAGCAGGTACCTGGTGGTGGCAGGACATGGTACCTGGACCCCACTGAGGACAGGCCCCCAGTGAGTAGGGTTAGGACCCCTGCTCCTGTCCAGGACAGGCCCCGCCAGTCAGTAGGTCGTAGAGTCCTTGCCCTCGTCCAGGACAGAGCCCCGGTGAGTAGGGTGTAGGGGCCCAGCCCCTGTCCAGGATAAGCCCCTAGTGACTCCGACCCCTGTAGAGGACAGGGCCCCTGGTGAACAGGGCCCTAACCGCCACAAGGGAGCTTCTGAGGCCAGGAAAGAGTGGGATAGTGGGGGCGGGGTCTCCCTGCGGGTGGGCCGAAAAGGGTATGGTAGGGTTCAGTGGCTAGGATGGGGTCTCACGTGAGTGGGGCAGCCCTTGCTGCCATCTGTATTCGTGCCAGCACCCAGGGTCTGCTCCCATGCAGGGCTGGTGAGGTACCCCAGCTGTGGCCCAGAACCTCTGGATGGGAAAGGACATTGGGTGATTGGCCCTCTCTCTCCAGATCTGCCACAGCAAGAGTGGGGAGATCAACCCCGTGAAGGTGGCCAACCTGGTGAAGGCATACGTGGACAAGTACCGGCACATGCGCAGGCACAAGAAGGCGGAGTCTGGCGAGGAGCCGCCCACCCAGGGCGCCGAGGGCTGAGGCCGTGCCCTGGGAGCTCTGCTGGGAGTGGCAGAAAACAGGGGGCACCAGCACGCCTGCCCCTGGGTTCCTGCGGTGACGCCTGGTCTGTGCGCCTGTCTCGCTCACAGTTGAAAACTGGACACTTTTGTATGTATATTATAGATACACTGTTTCCATTCTAATTTATCAAAAACGGATTATCTTTAGAAGTTTCTTGATTGACTTAATACTTAGAAGGTAAAGCACTTGGTGACTGGGAGAGGCTCCAGCTGGGGTGGGGGCGTCTGTGATAAATCTCTACGTGGCCTCCCCCCGGCAGCTGCGTGTGCACCTGTCTCTGGGTTAGGAGGTACTTCCTTCAACTACGTTGACTCCTGTAAATAGTTGCTCTAGTCTGCACTCGGCACAGCTGCCTCCCAGAGGCCAGGGGCAGCACTGGCAACCCTGAGGCCTGGCAATGGGAGGTGGGCGTGGTAGGTGCTGCCCCTACCCTCTGTACAGCTGGTGGGGGCCACCTGCCTCTCAAGGGCCTTGTTCTTTGAGTCAGTTATTGCTTGTAATGTGTGTGGTGAAGACAAGTGAGTTGGTGTGCAGGGAGGCTGTGGAGGTCCCTCCCTCCCTGGGCCCCACCTATGTCCAGCCTGGACCTGATTCCCTGCCAGCCAAGACGCCAGAGCATGTTCTGGGGCTCTTTTTATTAGACTGGGTGGCCACGGCCAGCTCTAGGCAGGCTGCTCCAGCTCCATAAGGAAGCCCTCGATGACATCGTAGAGGCTGTTGGCGCTGGACAGGCAGAGGCTCAGGCTGCTGCTGTCCAGGGACGACACCCCCTCGCGCTGCGTGCCCTCCAGGTACACTCGGCACAGCCAGGGCTCCAGCTGCCAGAGGGCATCAGGCGTCTGTCAGTGGGCCTGGACACATGGCCGCCCCTCCCCGAGGCTCTGGTCTCACCTTCACCAGGACCAGGCTCTTCTCCTTGGGTCTCCCGGCTGACAAGTCCTGGCCGAAGCCCAGGTAGATGGTGCAGTGTGGGGAGTTGCAGCGGCGCCGTGCCCTAAATTCCACCAGCTCTGCAGAAGGAGGCTCTGCTGAGTACCTGGAGGCAAGTGCTCCCCGGGACCCCTGGAGACAGCACCCCAGGCAGGGGCCCCACTGACCTTGGAAGAAGACTCTGAAGTCGAAGATGGGGGTGTCACAGTTGCGAGGCAGCAGGCAGGCTGGGGTGGAGGGGCTGGCGGAGCCTGGGGGGCCGCCAACCTCCCAGTATACCTTGCACTTGCCCATGCGCCGAGCCCACAGCTGCGGCCCCCGAAGCTCCAGCTGCAGCCCGGGGGCCACATGCCGCAGCAGCTCTTCCGTGTAGCGCAGCTGCTTCTGGTCCGGAAGCTCAGCAGGGCTGGGGAATGCCACCGGCTGAGGGTCTGTGGCCCAGATGGCTGGGCCCTGGGGGCCATACAGGAACACACAGCTCGGGCGCTCCACTACCTGCTGCAGGACCGTGCGGCCCTTGTAGGTGATGGTCACGTCCAGCACCCCTGGGCCGGGCTCTGCATGGAGACCAAGCTGTGAGCACTGGGCGTGGGTGGGGACAGGCTGCCCCCTTCCCAGGGTGCACTCACCTCCCACCACAGTGCAGGCACCTGGGGAGCGGGCCAGGTATGGCTCTGCCTGGTGCAGGGGCTCTGGGGCCGTGGCCTCGCCTATATCCAGAAGGAAATCTTGTGCTGGCACCTCATCCCCACCCCCTTCCTGTGCCCTAGGCCCCCCAACCCCTACCCCTCTCACCTGCCATTAGGGCCGGGGGCTGGGTCCTGGGGCTTGGGGTCCCCTCTGCTGCCCATTTGTACAGCTCCCCAGCAGGGAGCCCTGAGTCTGAAGAGGGAGGAGAGCAGTGGGAACAGGGGTCCCCTCCTGTTCTCCAGCTCCCCACTCCCCCTTCTCAAGTGTCTGTCCAGGGACACTGGCCCCTCCTGTTTTCCCTGGGGCTCCACCGTCCCCTTGGCACTGCTCACACCTCTAGCATAGCCCCCAGTCGGGGAAAGCGCGTTCAGTCCCTCTCCAGGAGCCTTGGCTGGGCCTGGATCTGCCCCCCATGATGCTGTCAGCAGATTGTCCCCCAGGCAGCTCTGCCACATCGCCTGAAGCAGGAGGTCCTGCTGGTCCCCGGCTGGGGCAGGGAGGAGGCTTGGGACTTGGACTTCAGCATCTCCTTGTGCTAGGAATGGCCCTGGGGTCCCAGCCTGCAGGGAAAAGGCAGGCTCAGCATTTCGTAGCTCCCTGGCCTGGCATGAGGAGAGGCAGGCAGAGAGGAGACTACCTGGGAGGGTGGGTCAGCCATGGGGGCCTCTGCCTCTGTCCGGTCCGTGCCTGGGCCTTCTGAGGGAGGATGGGGCAGGGGTCAGGCCCCAAGACCAGAGTGAGACACAGCCAGAGCCCAGAGCAGCCCCCACCAGCTTCCTGGCTGTGAACCCTTAGGGCTGTGGCCTGAGGAGGTGGGGTTCCTCCTGGGGCTGCTGGGACTGCTGGCAGCCTCTCCCATAACACCTTCTAAAACTACAAATCTGACCGGGAATGTCCCCCCTTCCCTACTTGAGATGAATGCCAGCGCCCTTGGTAGCCAGCGTCTCACCTCGGCAGCCCAGCTCCTGGCTGAGCGTGTACACCTTGTGGGGGTCCGCAGGGTCCCCCGAGTTGTCCCGTAGCATCACGAAGCGACGCGTGCTGTGCAGGGCGCAGCGGAAGTTGGTTTTCCAGCCGGCGCGCTCCGCAGCCTCGCAGGGCGGCTGGTCACCTCCGCTGCTGCTGGGCGGCCACCTGCCGCGAGCCACGGCCCAGGCCTGAAGAGGGGACAGAGGACGTGGGCCCGGCCCGCGGGGTCCTGGGTGCGCCCTCCCATCCGGGGCAGGACGGGGCGGGGTCCCACCTTGAAGATGCGCGCGTCCGCCTCGCTCAGGTCCTTGCGCCCGAAGTGCTTCCAGGGCACGCGGAAGCGGGTGCGTGCCTCGTCCAGCCACCGCAGCCCCTCGTAGCGGCCGCTGCTGACCTCCCCAAGGAGCCACTCTCCGAACAGCACGCGTGGGGCTGCCCTGTGGGTGCCGGGCCGCGGGGAGTCAGAGCGGGCAGCGGGGCCCTCCGGGCGGGCGCCTGGAAAGGGTGGGCGGGGCTCTCACCTCTGCGAAGCCAAGGCCATCGCTCCCTCTGCGGGGCTAGACGGCGGTCAGGTGTCACAACGGGACGGCAACGCTCGGGTCACTGCAGAAGCCAGGCCGTGTGGGGGCCAGGTGTCACGGGGGTCGGGGTCACAGGTGTGGACCGAGGGCTGGGGGGCTACAGGTGTGGCTGCCGGTGTGGCCAGCGCGCACACATGAAGTCGCAGGTGTCGGACCAGCGTCCAGGCCAGGAGGGTAGGTGCAGGCCGGACCCTGCGGGGATGGGAAAGGCCGCGTCGGGGGCGGGCCAGGCTCCCGGGAAAGCGAAACCTAAACGGCTGGCGGCGCTTTCCCACCCTCCCCGGTCCCACCCCCGTCCGGTTCTCCACTCCGCGGAACCCCGCCTCCGAGTCTCTCCCCGCCCGACCCTCGTCCCTCGGGCTCCCCCGGCCCAGGGCTCTCCACATCGGGGGGTCACGCAGTCCCCGCGGAGGCTGTTGCTCCCGGGTCTGCACCGCGTGGGCCCGGAGTCCCGAGTACCTGGGTGCCAGAGCCGCTGGGGCGGGAAGTTTCGTCTCGCGGGGAAGCGGGGGGCCGGCGTTTTTATGTGGCCGGGCCGGGGCGGGGCCCGAGAGGCTGCAGGTGCTGCCGAAGAGGTCACGTGGCCAGGCGGGTGTTTCTGGGAAAAGCGCGCGCGGCCCGTTCCTGCTTTCGGATGCGGCAAGCGGAACCCCGCACCGGGCAGGCGGAGGAGGGAGCGGCGGAGGCGGGCAGTGGTGGGCTCTGCCTGCCGGCCTGGCTCAGCCCTGCAGGATCTAGCGGCTCCCGCTCTGGGAAGCAGCCCCTATGCGCCTGGGGCGAGGGGGTGTGGGGGACACAGTGGGATAAGCTGGGGACCCACGAATAAGCGAAACGTGACCCCAGGCAAAAGCAGGTCCTTTTTGCGCTTTTAGAAGTGGGTAATGGGTGGGGCCGGGCACCGTGTCTCAAGCCTGTAATCCCAGCACCTTGGGAGGCCAGGGACACCCAATCACTTGAGGTCAGGAGTTTGAGACCAGCCTGGCCAACACAGGGAAACCCAGTCTCTACTAAAACTACAAAAATTAGCCGGGCGTGGTGGCACGGGCCTGTGGTCCCAACTACTTGGGAATCGCTGGAGCCTAGGAAGTTGGGGCTGCAGTGAGCCCAGATCAGGGTACTGCACTCCAGCCCCAGCGACCGAGCGAGACTAAGTCTCAAAAGGGAAGTGGGTAATGAGGCGGATGTGCCTCCAAAGAACGGCAGTGTCGCGTTTTTTTAGTTCCTTTTTCTGCAGGGTCCAGCCCCCTCCTCCTCTGAGCGCTCCTGTCTCAGCCTCCTGACAACCTGGATCACCAGCTCGAGCCTCTCCGTCCAGCTTTTTGTATTTAGTAGAGACGGGTTTTCACCATGTTGGCCAGGATGGTCTCGATCTCCTAACCTCAGGTGATCCGCCCACCTCGGCCTCCCAAAGTGCTGGGATTACTTACAGGTGCAGCCACGGTGCCCGCCCCGTTTGGGTTCTTAAGTTTGTTCTGCCAAGAATATCAGACACTCTCTCAATTAAAACATTTGGAAAGGAATTGGTGGTGTCTTTTCATGAGGGAAAGTGCTGATCACTCACAGGGGACCCCTTGATAGTTCTGGGCATGGGCACCCAGCCTGGGCTCGCCCTTGAGAGAAGTGAGGGGGCGTGTGTCTCACCCCCGCCTGCAGTCCCTCCTGCCCGGCCCCACAGACTCGCCCACCCCAGTGCGCCTCAGTCCAGGCCTCTGGAGGGGCCTTTACTGCTGCACCCCAGCCCAAGCACGCAGATTTCAGAAGGGGACTGGGACCCCCTGGCAGGTGTTTGAGACCACCGGCATCCAAGCCCATCATCTTATTGGGGGTTTGCGTTGGCTCCTCAGCCTCCCCCAGGCAGCCTCTGTGTAGGGTTGTGGGGGGGAGGAGGAGAAGGAGGAGGAGGAGGAGGAGGTGGTGGTCCCCGGTGTGGGGTGGTGGGGGGGTCCCCATCTCAGGCTGTGGTTAGAGCAGGGGAAGAACTTGCCCGGCCAGCTGGCCCCAGCCTGGGGAGGGTGCGGGAACAGCAGGTGGTTTACCGGAAGCCCTGCAGCTCGCTTGGGGTGGGGACAGAGTGGCTGGACTTGCCACCCCCATCAGCACACCCGGGTTCCAGCACTGAGGACCATGGGGGACGCTATCGAGTGGGGCACCCCCCACCCCCCATGGACCCCCGTGCCTGCCCCACGCCACCGCCTGAGTTTCGGGAGCCTCGATTTATTCTGCGTTGGGTCAGGGGTGGGGGGAGCCAAACCTCCAGTGCCTGGGCGGCTGGGGGAGGGGGAAGGGGCCTCTTTAGATGTAGGAAGAGTCATTGCCGGGCTCATCGTGGGGACCCCCACCCCATCCCCTGTCCTCGCCCTCGCCCTCATCGCCACCGCTGGAGTCGCCTGCGCCATCCACGTCCAGGGTGGGCGCGTTGAGAACGACCACGTCCGCCTCCGCCCCGATGTCCTCACCGAACCACACGGCCTTGTAGCCGCCCTCTGGCCGCCGCTCCTTGTTCAGGATGGACCTTAGGGCCACGGGGCTTCCCCCGCTGTGGGCCGCTGCTGGGGACTCAGGGGCAGAGCCGGGGGGCGAGGGGCCGGGGGGCGAGGGGCCGGGGGGCGAAGGGCTGGGGGTCTCAGGCTTCGTGAGGATCAGCGGTGTCTCCGAGGGCTTGGGCTCCTGCGTGGGGCTGGGGGCAGATGCCCAGTTGGCCTCCTGGTCAGGTTGGAATGCCTGGTTGTTAGAGCCATGGGGCTCAGGCTCCTGTGGGCGGGGAGGGCGGGTGTGAGCGGAGTCCCTGGGTCTCTGGGGCTCTGCAGCCCTGGCCTCTCTACACCCTCAGTCCATGCTGGACCTGGACACCCCTCCACATCTGCCGCTGTGCCCTCCCCTGGCCGGTCTTCCTCTCCCGCCCCGTCCTCCTGCCCTGCCCTCTGCCCTGGGCCTCACCGGGGCTTTGCCAGAGCAGCACTTGAGCCGGGGGCCATAGTGCTTGTGGACTAGGATGGCGAGGCCAAGGACAGCCAGCAGCAGCAGTGCACCCAGCACCCCGCCCAGGGCGGCCATGTCCACCGCCGAGAAGCGCTTGTCCTCCGAGGGTTGGCCACCCGGCATTCCTGCCAAAAACACCATCACCCCCACTGTTGAGTGCCCGGGGCCAACCTGTGCCAGGCTCGGGATGCCTGGAAACCACCCAGGCCTAGCTGTCTCCCAAAGCTCAGGCTCTGCTGACCCTGGCTGGAGGGGGGCTGCGTGTCCCAGTGAGACCCTGAGAGCCCCGAGGAGGCCAGGCTGCTCACGGGAGGTGCAGGGGCTGGCAGGGAGAGTGGCACCCGAGGTAATCATGGGTATGGCTGGATGGCAGGTCTGGCCTCTGCCCTGCACACATCACAGCTCACCTCACTGGAGGCCTCGGGCCTGTCTAGGTGTCTGTCAGTCCTATACAGACCCCTCTTTGGGATTTCATGGTCAGGCCAGGCCAGGCCAGCCTGGGGCAGCCCCGTCCCACAGTGTGTCCCGGACCACCCAGCGTCCTGAGTCAGGGAGGGAAGGGCGACTCCTTGGCAAACGGAGTGGGTGTTACCTGAGGACGTGGTGCTCCTGCTGACCCCGGGGGTCATCGGCTGAGAGGCTCCCGGCTCCGGGGTCTGTGCTGTGCCCCCACCGGGAGTGGCCGGTTGGTGGGAGGTGCTGGTTCCCACACCCGGGGGCATCGGCTGATTGGTTCCCGGCTCTGGGGTCTGTGCTGTGCCCCCACCGGGAGTGGCCGGTTGGTGGGAGGTGCTGGTTCCCACACCCGGGGGCATCGGCTGATTGGTTCCCGGCTCTGGGGTCTGTGCTGTGCCCCCACCGGGAGTGGCCGGTTGGTGGGAGGTGCTGGTTGCTGCACCTGGGGGTCTCCCAGGTGTGGGTGAGGTTGGTGGCCTCAGAGTTGTGCCAGAGGGTGGGTGAGGGCCTGTGCCTCCCCTAGAGCTGGTCGTGGAGGGCCCCTGGGAGGGCCCAGGGGGTCTGGGGGCCTTGGAAGTGGTGCTGCTCCAGGGCCCAGTTGTTCCTCCGGCCTCTGGGGAGGGGGGGACGTCTGGGGGCCAGGAAGAGTGTTTGGGCTTGCCTCTGCCCGCCCCCTGCACCTCTGCCTCGGGGAAGGGAAGGACTTATCTGGAGAACCCTGGGCTCACCTGTGGAGGGGGGCTCCTGCTCGGAAACTTGGATCTCAATGACTGTGGTCGCAGTGCCCAAGCTCACTGTGTTGTTGGCCTCAACCTGGGGCAGGAAGGGGCTTGTCCCTCCTGGGTTCCTCTTTAAACCCCACGCCCTCAGAGACATCCACCTGCCCTGCCATTCACCTCTGCATAGAAGGTCCCCGCCTGTGGCAGTGCGATGGCGGTCAGCACAAGCTCTCCCTCCATCCGGAAGTGAGAGTGGTTGCTGATTCGATACGTGATGGCCGAGTTGAGGTCCTGGAGAGAGGGCCTCACTGAGTTCCCGGCCAGGCTGCCTCCCACATGCAGCTCTGACCCGCCCACAGCGTGGAGGGCAGATGGGCCCCGGGACCCCGGCAACAGGAAGGCAGCCGGACGGGGCAGCAGGCTTGGCATGCTGCCTACCGGGAACTCCGGGTCCTGAGCCTGGATCCTCAGAGGCTGAGAGGGGGCAGCTGCATCCTCGACCACAACACCTGCTCCAGAGCCAAGCGCCACGGTGCCACGGTACAGGCTCTGGGGGAAGTGGGGTGGGCTTCCGGCTGCAGCCACAGCCCTCACGGTGACCTGGGTCACGGAGTAGCGGGCGAGGTCAGCCTGCTGGCCCTGGAGGCGGGGAGGTAGCACTGGTGGGGCTGAAGGTAGAGCTGGAGCCTGGGGCTCAGGAAGGCAGGTGCATATTGGAGGGACCCCACCCTGCCCCCTGTGGAGGTGCCCACCTCACCTTCACCAGGAGAAGGAAGGTCATGGGGCTGGGTACCCTCCTGGCCATGGTGAGGTTACCGGAGTCTGCGTGGATGACGAACGTGCCATTCACATTTCCTGGGAGGTGGAGGAAGTGCTCAGCTCCGGCCCCCTGGGGCTCAGGGACCCAGTCAGCTCTGCCTAGCTGGCAGGTGGCCCGAGGGCTTCCCTAGCCCCAGGTGGGGACAGAGACAGGGTCAGAGAGGGGTCCAGGGTGTTGCTGCGGGCTGGGCCCCACTCACCATCCTGGATGCTGTAGACGATGCGTTGGTTGATGCTACGGTCTCCATCCTCAGCATAGATGGGTCCGGGACGCAGGACGAGGGGGGACGGCTTCAGGGATGGTGGAGGGGAGGGCACATTGTGGGGTGAAGTGGATGGCCGCAGCCTGGCCCCTCTGGCTCCCCCCAAGGTCAGCCAGGGCAGGGCTGGCCGAGGAGGGGCCTGTCACTCTGGTGGCTGGGCATCCTTGCCTGCCTAGGACGTCGCTGTCCCAGCATCACAATCAGTGACACCCCCGTGGTTCCCTTACTATAAGTCAAATTGCCCAAAAATATTGAGACCCATTTGCACAATGCTTGTCTTGACAGGTAAGAAAACATTTAGAAAGGGTGGGACCCTCGGGGTCTGCATTCCACCTTTTACCAGCCCTTTGGTGACACAGGCACGGGTTCCCGCTGCCCCCGGGTGCCTTGGTGCCATGAGGTCTACAGGCAGCCAGTGTGGCCTCAGTGGTGACTGTGAGCAGGGCAGAGCCGTCACCATCCCTTGAGAGCTCCAGGCCCTCAGCCCACCTCCCCGGGCCCCCAAGACCCCCTGGCTCCAGGCAGGCCACGCTCCTCTCTGTGTGGAGATTTGCTCCCTCACCACCTCAAGATGGGAAGGATTGGTTTACAAGGAGAGTCTGTATTTGTTTCAAAATCACAACCAAAATTGGCTTCACCCCAATTGGTCCGACCCTTTCTGGGTCCTGACCCTGACCCTTGCCTCCCGCCAGCCTGGGAGTCTCCACCCTGTGGACTGCCCCTCCCTCCCCATTACCAGTATGTGCCCAGTAGGGACGGCCCCGAGGTACTGGGCTTGGATGCAGACGTAGCCGTCTGAAAAGCTGCAGGGCAGGAACCACGGGGGCCGCAGGTCGGCGGGCACCACGTTAAGCACCAGTGTGGCGGTGGCCGTGTGGCTGGGCTCCACGTGCTCCTCCGGGGTGTCCTGTAATGGCCGGCTGTGCTGGATCAGGCCTGGGAGCAGCTGGGTCCGGGGGCCGCAAGTGTCTGGGACTCAGGGGTGGGGTGACGTGCTCACCCGCACCAGTAGCCGGAAGGCCATCTTTGGCCGCTTATCGAAGTCCAGGGGCCGGTCCAGCCTCAGGGCAGGACGGTTTGCACCCACCAGGGAGAAGTAGTCACTGGCACCCTGGAGAGGGTCGGGGGGACAGAGCCTGAGAGCCTGGGAGGGCGAGGGTGGCCTCGGGTGTCAGAGGCAAGGGGCCTGTGCTGGGGGGACAGGGTGGGCAGCACTGACTGTGGTCTCTTCCTGGAGGGTGTAGAACAAGATGTCATTTGCGTCTGGGTCCTTGGCCTCCAGTTCCGTCTCTGGGATGACGATGGAGGTCACTTTAGTGTCCTGGGGAGGGAGAGGAACTTGGTCCGGCCATGGCCCCTGTGGACCCCACTGTGACTGAGCCCCCTGCCCTCACCCCGGGCTCCCACGCCCCCCATGCCCAGCCCCGGCGGCATCACTGGCCTCACCTCCTCCACACTTATCTCCTTGGTCATAAAGGGAAACTCAGGGGAGTTGTCATTGACATCCAGCACTGACACGATCACCCTCATCTGGGTCACCTGTAGGGTGTGGCCGTCAGCCTCTCCCACAGCCTCCCCTGCACCCTCGACGGCCATCCATCCGCTCACTCACTCATTCAGTGGTCTTGGGGGGCTGCAGGGCGGCTGCCCAGTTCTAGGTGCCGGGACGCAGAGATCACAAGTGACAAATCTCTGCCCAGTGGCGCCTGTCCTGGCAGGACCCACAACAGACAAAATGGAATCTATAAAGGTGGGAGGTAGCAGGTGCTCCAGGGAAAAATGATGCAGGTGCTGGGGACGCAGCTGGCAGAATCTCAAGTGAGGACACAATCCAGTTTCTTTTTTTTTGAGACAGAGTCTCTCCCTCTGTCTCCCAGGCTGGAGCGCAATGGCACAATCTCAGCTCACTGCAACCTCCACCTCCCAGGTTCAAGTGATTCTCCTGCCTCAGCCTCCTGAGTAGTTGGGTCTACAGGTGCGCGCCACCACGCCAGCTACGTTTTGCATTTTTAGTGGAGACGGGGTTTCACTGTATTGGTGAGGCTGGTCTCAAACTCCTGACTTCAGGTGATCCACCTGCCTCAGCCTCCCAAAGTGCTGGGGTTACAGGTGTGAGCCACCGCGCCCAGCTGACAATCCAGTTTCTTCAAAACAAATCTCCAAGAAAAAAGACGGGAGAAAGGGGAAGGGGCAGATTCACAGAAACTCGGGAGGATTTCCAACAGGGACGTGGTGTGAACCTCGCTTGGACCCCGATTCAAACAAAAAATTGTAAACAGAGACCACGGGAATGTGGCATCCTGGACACTCAAGGATGGCAGGAAGCGACCACTTTCCCAGGTGTGACAATGACATCATGGTTATGTTTTAAAAAGGTTCCTGGCTGGGTGCGGGAGCTCATGCCTGTAATCCCAGCACTTTGGGAGGCTGAGGTAGGTGGATCACTTGAGGTCAGGAGTTCGAGACCAGCCTGGCCAAATGGTGAAACCCCATCTCTACTAAAAATACAAAAAATTAGCTGGGCATGGTGGTGCCTGCCTGTAGTCCCAGCTACTCAGGAGGCTGAGGCGGGAGAATTGCCTGATCCCAGGAGGCGGAGGTTGCCGTGAGCGGAGATTGCGCCATTGCACTCCAGCCTGACGACAGAGGGAAACTCTGTCACCCCCCCGCACACACACACAAGGGTCCTGGCCAGTCGCGGTGGCTCACACCTGTAATCCCAGCACTTTGGGAGGACAAGGCAGGCGTATTACCTGAGGTCAGGAGTTCGAGAAGCCTGACCAACATGGAGAAACCCTGTCTTTACTAAAAATATAAAATAAGCCGGGCATAGTGGCGGCCGCCTGTAGTCCCAGCTACTCGGGAGGCTGAGGCAGGAGAATCACTTGAACACGGGAGGCAGAGGTTGCAGTGAGCTGAGACTGTTCCATTGCACTCCAGCCTGGGCAAGAAGAGTGAAACTCTGTCTCAAAACAAAACAAAAATTAGCCGGGCATCGTGGCAGGCACCTGTCATCGAAGCCACTCAGGAGGCTGGGGCGGGAGAATCACTTGAACCCGGGAGGTGGAGGATGCAGTGAGCCGAGATCTTGCCCCTGCACTCCAGCCTGGGCGACAGAGGGAGACTCAAAGAATAAAGGGTTCCTCTCTTTCAGAGACACATCCCAAGATACGTGGGGGTGATGCGCCGTGGCGTGCGGAGGGCGCAGAGCCCGCTGTCTGCTGGTAGGCGGGGGGGGCGGGGGGGGCGCCTGTGCTGGCCTCAGGATTCTGCAATTTTCCTTAATAAATTGCAGAAGTGGTGGGAGTGGAGGTGGCGGATGGTGGATTTCTGGGTCGAGCTGGGGCAGAGCCAACAGATTTACCAATGGGGGGACTCGGGGGGACTCGGGAAGGGAGGGCGAGTGGGAACTGAAGGGGTCCCAGTGACCCGCAGGATAAAAGTGCCTCCCTGGAGGGGGCAGTGGTGGTTGGGAAATGGGTGGGAGTCTCAGGCACGCTGGGGGCAGAGTCTGGGCTGGAGGAAGTGTGGGCGTCACTCTTGGATGGTGCCATTTGAAAGCACAGCGGAGCTGAGGTCACCAGGGAGTGGCTGTGGACCGAACCCAGCACAAGTGGCCGGGCGGGCGGGGGAGTGGGGCAGGTACTCACGAGCAAGCTTCCCCTCTGGCACCGCAGCTCAGCCTGAAGCAGTGTGTTCTCCTGTGGAGGCAGAAGGGCCTGCAGTCACCATCCCACACCACAGGTGGGGAGACTGAGGCCCAGGGGACAGGTGCTGGCCCAGACCCCATCAGCAGTGGTCAATCCCGAGCCGTGGGCCCAGGCAGCTTCCTCCCAAAATGGCCCAGCCTTCTAGGGCAGGCAGCACCAAGCGTGGGTGTCAGTGGATGCTGTGGGCACAGAACCCCTAGGCCCCCGGGGAAGGCATGGCCTGGAGATCCCGGAACCCTTCCCCCCAGCCCTTCCACCCCACCCACCTGCCGCCCACACCTCGTAATCAGGAGTCACGTTGAGAAACAGCTGGTTTCTAAGGACCCGAAACGCGAAGGGGGTGGATGAGGGTCCGAGGGTCACCTCCAGGCCCTCTGGGACGTGGATGTCCACCAGGGGCTCGGTGACATTTGCGTTCTCCTCAACTTCTAAGTAGGTCTTGTCCACAGAGCAGTCTGTAAGGTGGCAGAGGAAGGGTCAGCGCTTCCCAGCCCCCGGCTCCCTCTGCCCCGGGCCCCCACCTACCCCTGCCCAAACGTACACTGGGCCTGGGCCAGGGCCCCCGGGGATTGGCCGAGCAGCCCGGCGAGCAGCAGGGGAGGCCACAGCAGGGCCCAAACCCCCATCTTGGCGGCCGTCGCCTGGCGGGAGGGTCCCAGTGGCTCTGGCATCCAGAGCTGGCGCAGTTCCTGCCTCAGCAACCTTTGCCCCAGGGCGGCGCCACCTGCTTTATGATCCTTTACGACCAGCCTCTGCCAAGGGGGCTCCCGCTGGCCGGCCGGTCCAGCCCACCGCCAGGAGGGATGGGCATGGGGCCGAAGCTGGACTCAGTGCAGGGGTCAACCAGGGACTCAGGCCACAGACCCCGAAGCACAGGGTGGGAAGGAGATCGGCTCTTGGGCCCCACGGGGCGGGGGCAGGGTGGGGGCGGGGCGGGGGCAGGGTCGGGGTGTTGGGGGAGAGAAGCTGGGGGCTGGGGGCAGGGGCTCCGCCCTTGGTGTCCAGATGTCTAGAACCTGCCCCCTGAACCTGGCTCCTCCCCTAAGCTCTCCCTCAGGCAAAGTTCCTAGGGCCACCTCTGGAGGCTCAGAACCTGGGGTTCCCCGGGGATCACCTCCCTCCCTCCCTCCCTCCCTGACGCAGGTTCTGAAGGAAAAGGCTCTCCTCCGTGTGTCCTAGGGACACCCCTGCCTGTCCCAGAGACAAGTCAGCTTCTCAGGCTGGGGCTGGACAGGGCCTTAGTAACGGAGACGGCAGGGCTATGAGGGCAGCTGGGCGCTCTTGGGGGCCCTCATGCCCAACAGAAGCGGTGAGGTGACACTTGTCCTGCTTTTTTCTTTTTTGCAACCTCAGACTCCTGCGTTTGAGCGATGCTCCTGCCTCAGTCTCCAGAGTGTCTGGGATTACAGGTGCCCACCACCACGCCTGGCTACTTTTTGTATTTTTAGTAGAGATGGGGTTTCGCCATGTTGGCCAGGCTGGTTTTGAACTCCTGACCTCATGATCTGCGTGCCTCGGCCTCCCAAAGTGCTGGGATGACAGGCGTGAGCCACCGTGTCCGGCCACTCTGCTCTTTTCCTTGGCCCCCCAAACCTCCAGCTGTAGGGAGAGGCCACTGGATGGGGTCAGGTGGAGGAAGGGGCTGTTGTGACGGGGAAGCGGATCCTTCCCTCGGGGCCTGTGTGCTGAAGCTTCTGCCCTCTAGAGGCTGGGGCTGGGCTCAGTGCCCCAACCCTGCACCGCCCCGCACCACCATGGTCCTGGAAGCCCTGCACACTCCCTGCTCCACAGGCTCTGCGGGGTCAAGCCACACAAGACAGAGGGTCCGAAGAACTCCTGCTCGAGTAGACACCCGGCAGCCTAGGTGACCCCCCACCCCCACTCCGTCTTCCCTGGCCCCTTCCAGAAACACTGACCACATGGCTCCCTGACAGGAGCTGGGGGGCCCCTGAATGTCTGCTAATGCATGACAAGGGGTGGGGCGGGGCCCTGGGGTGCTTAGTCAATGTACAGGAGGTGGCCCTGATGGCAGAGATAAGGATGAGCTGCCATGGCCACCAGGTGTAAAGGCAGCTGGGTGTGGTCACAGCCCCCGTGGGCTGATGGGCCCTTCCATCTGCAGCCCCAACGCACAGGGGCTGCCTGGATTGTACCAAGTGGACACAGCAGACTCGCAGCGTCTGGGTCTGATTCCTCCTTTATTGGTGCCAAGTAGCCCCCCCTTTCCCAAACCCGCCCCTCAACACAAGTGCAGCTCCGCTCTGGGCCTGGCGGGTGGCGAGGGGGTCCCTTCCTCATCTGGGCCGCAGGGTTCCTTCTGCAGCAGCGCCACCGGCTCCTTCTGAAACCATAACCCCAGGCCCGGGCCCATCGGGCAGCCAGGGAGACCAGGCCCTGTCCAAGGGGGCCCTCAGGGGCATCCTGAGTGCAGAGACAGCACGTGAGGGACGGCAGGGGTGGGGGGGGGGCTGCTGACCCCAGCCCCCCTGCTGGAACTGGGCCTCCCCTGGTCACCAGCGCTGACCCGGAGGGCCCTATGGTCAGAGGGGAGGGCCTGGGGTAGGGCGGGCACTCACCAGGCCTGTAGGTTGGGCGTGTCGGACCTGGACAGGCAGAGCAGGCCGGTTCCCAGCCTGGACCAGGCTGTGCTGTTCTCCGCCTCCTGCTCGCTGACCCGCACCCCAAAGCAGAGTTAATCCCGGAGCTGGGGGTCCTCCCTGCTTCAGGGGCGCCCCAGCCCATCCCCCACCCCAAAGCAGAGTTAGTCCCGGAGCTGGGGGTCCTCCCTGCTGCAGGGGCGCCCCACCCCGTCCCCCACCCCAAAGTAGAGTTAGTCCCGGAGCTGGGGGTCCTCCCTGCTGCAGGGGCGCCCCACCCCGTCCCCCACCCCAAAGTAGAGTTAGTCCCGGAGCTGGGGGTCCTCCCTGCTGCAGGGGCGCCCCACCCCGTCCCCCACCCCAAAGTAGAGTTAGTCCCGGAGCTGGGGGTCCTCCCTGCTGCAGGGGCGCCCCACCCCGTCCCCTACCCCAAAGCAGAGTTAGTCCCGGAGCTGGGGGTCCTCCCTGCTGCAGGGGCGCCCCACCCCGTCCCCCACCCCAAAGTAGAGTTAGTCCCGGAGCTGGGGGTCCTCCCTGCTGCAGGGGCGCCCCACCCCGTCCCCCACCCCAAAGTAGAGTTAGTCCCGGAGCTGGGGGTCCTCCCTGCTGCAGGGGCGCCCCACCCCGTCCCCTACCCCAAAGCAAAGTTAGTCCCGGAGCTGGGGGTCCTCCCTGCTGCAGGGGCGCCCCACCCCGTCCCCTACCCCAAAGTAGAGTTAATCCCGGAGCTGGGGGTCCTCCCTGCTGCAGGGGCGCCCCACCCCGTCCCCTACCCCAAAGTGGAGTTAGTCCCGGAGCTGGGGGTCCTCCCTGCTGCAGGGGCGCCCCAGCCCGTCCCCCACCCCAAAGCAGAGTTAATCCCGGAGCTGGGGGTCCTCCCTGCTGCCGGGGCCCCCCAGCCCCGCCCCCGCGCCCAGCCTCACCTGCGCTTCCCCACCAGGCCCTGCAGCAGCCGCTGCAGCCGGGCGCCCTCCCGCAGGCGACTGAGCTCGCTGGTGAACGTCCCGTCCGAGTGTCGCGGGGCCCTGGGGAGGGGGCGGCGGGCCGAGGTCAGGGCGGCGCGGAGGGGGGAGGGCGGGCGCGGCGGGGGTCGGGAGGGGGCGGGCGGCTCACCGGGGGGGTGCGGGGCGCGCGGCGGAGCCCCCGAGGAGCAGCAGCAGCAGCAGCAGGGGCCGGGGGACCATGGCGGGGCCGGTCGTGGGTGCGGATCGCGGCGGCCACGGCCCGGGGGCCCGGCACGGCCCCTTTATGGCGGCGCCCGGAAGGGGGACGGGCCGGGGGCGCCCAGCACCGCCCCGGCTCCACGGGGCCCGGCCGCGCCCAGCGATCTCGGGAAGGTCAGGGCCGCCCCCCCAGCTGTCGCCCGGGCCGCCTCCGGCCCCCTCCGCCGCGCTGGCGCCCCTCGGCTGCTGGGGGCGGGGATCCGGGCCTGGGGGGTAAAGGGGGCGAAGGGGGCGCGGGACCCTCAGCGGGAACAGCACCTCGAAGCCTCGGAGCCTGCGGGGCGCTGGAGTGAGGGGCCAGGGCTTGGCGTGGGCTCGGGGGGCGCTGGGGGTCCCCGGGGAAGGGGCGGCGGCCGGAGCTGCGGAGGGGCGACCTCATCTCGGCTTCAGCCTTGGGAAGGCGCGGTGGTCCCGGGAAGGCCTGAGCCCTGGCGCTGCGGGCGCTGGCACTGGATCCCTTTCAAGTGCCCGGTTCAGAGCCCTGAGGCTCCCTGGCCTCGCTGTGCCGCCGCGGCGCTCCTCGCGGGGTTGGGGTTAGTCCCGGTTCAACGCCCGCCCCGCCCATCCGCCTCCCGGGACGGCGCGCACGGGGAGCCCCGCGGGATTTGTCCTTTGGCGACCGGCTGGTCCGCGGCCTGTGTCGGACTCTCCTTCCCTTTCACGGTGACCCGCGTCCCGCCGTGTGGCGGGTCCACGTCCTTCATCCGTGGGTCTCTCCATGGACACTCTGGGCGGCGGCTTAGCGCTGCCACGGACACGGACACGCCCCGCAGGTCCCGTTTTCCGGCGCTCTGCGTGTACAGTTACGAGGATTTGCTGGTGACGGTAATTCCGTGTTCAACACTCACCCCACGTTTCCCGCGGCAGCTCCGCAGACGGCACCTCCCAGCCGTGCAGCAAGGGCGGGGCTCGTCGTTTTCTGGGTTTTGCTGCCGTCGCGATCCGTGGGTGCCACTGCGCGCTTGAGTTCATCTCCCTAATGACCCGCGCTGTGGAGCATCTTGTCCAGCGTCTGTGACCCATTTATACACCGTGGACTGAGTGGAAGGGAAACGCCGTCAGGCCCTTTGATTTTCCACGAGACTCGCGTGCTTTTTCTTTTTTCTTTTATTTTTATTTATTTATTTATTTATTTTTGAGACAGAGTTTCGCTCTTGTTACCCAGGCTGGAGTGCAATGGCGCGATCTCGGCTCACCGCAACCTCCGCCTCCTGGGTTCAGGCAATTCTCCTGCCTCAGCCTCCCGAGTAGCTGGGATTACAGGCACGTGCCACCATGCCCAGCTAATTTTTTGTATTTTTAGTAGAGACGGGGTTTCACCATGTTGACCAGGATGGTCTCGATCTCTTGACCTCGTGATCCACCCGCCTCAGCCTCCCAAAGTGCTGGGATTACAGGCGTGAGCCACCGCGCCTGGCCTTTTTTTTTTTTTTTTTTTTTTTGAGACAGTCTCGCTCTGTTGCCCAGGCTGGAGTGCAGTGGGGCCATCTCGGCTCCCTGCAACCTCTGCCTCCCGGGTTCAAGCAATTGTCACACCTTGGTCCCCCAGGTAGCTGGGATTACATGCGTGCACCGTCGTGCCCGGCTAATTTTTGTATTTTTAGCAGAGACGGTATTTCACCCTGTTGGCCAGGCTGGTCTCAGACTCCTGACCTCAGGTGATCCGCCCGCCCTGGCCTCACTTTCTCCGCACACTGTCACTCGAAGTCGCTGCAGCCGCTATGTTTAGCTTCCGCGGTTCTGGCTGCGAGGCTGCTCCTTGCTGTGGTCTCGGTTGCATTTCCCCAATGGCTGGGACACAACCTCTTTCCAGGCGCTTATGTCCATTGGCAGCTTGTTGTGGGTTAAATGTGGCTTCACGTCTCTTGCCCATTTTTAAATTGTTCTCTACAGCTGAGTTTATTTTTATCGTGAGAAAATACGCACAACGTGAAACTTAGCATTTTAGCCATTTTGAAGTATAAACCGATACTCCGCACAGTCACGAAGTCGTACAGCCACCACTGCTGTTTCCTTCCAGAACTTTCTACTCCCCAGATGGAAAACTTCTGAGTAACGGGGTTTACGGGTGTGCGCCACCCACCGCATCCCCCAGGCTGGAGTGCGCTGACTAGATCTCGGCTCACCGCAGCCTCCGCCTCCCAGGTTCAAGCGATTCTCCAGCCTCAGCCTCCCTAGTGGCTGGGATTACAGGCACCGGCCACCATGCCTGGTTAATGTTCGTATTTTTAGTAGAGATGGGGTTTCACCACGTTGCCCAGGCTGGTCTCAAATTCCTGACCTCAGGTGATCCACCCACCTCAGCCTCTCAAAGTGCTGGGATCACAGGTGTGAGCCGCTGTGCCTGGCCATTTATTTTTGTATCGTCAGCGGAGAGGGGGTTTCGCTATGTTGGCCAGGCTGGTCTCGAACTCTTGGCCTCAAGCAATCCACTCACCTTGGCCTCCCAAAGAGCTGGGATTACAGGCCTGAGCCGCGGTGCCCCGCCCCTTTTGCATATTGTGGACAGTGCTGCTGTGAACATTTACAGACAAGCCTTTGTTTGAACACCTGTTTTCACTTGTTTTTGGTCTGTAACACATGCCCGCTGAGTCGCATGAAACTGTGTGTGTACCTTGATGCGGAACTGCTCAGCTTTCCCCCGCAGCGAGCACAGCACTTCGCACGGCGCCGGCAGTGAGCTTTCCCCTCCGTACATTTATTTCTATTTATTTTATATTATCGCCATTCTAATGGGTAGGCAATGGCATCTTATTGTGGTTTTGATTTGCATTTCCCCAGTGACTAAGGGCGACGAGGATCTTTTCAAGCACTTCTTGGTCATTTGTGTGTGTCTGTGTGTGTGTGTGTGTGTGTGTGTGTGTGTATATATATATATATATATTTTTTTTTTTTTTTTGAGACAGAGTTTCGCTCTTGTTGCCCAGGCTGGAGTGCAATGGCGCGATCTCGGCTCACTGCAACCTCCGCCTCCTGGGTTCAGGCAATTCTCCTGCCTCAGCCTCCTGAGTAGCTGGGACTACAGGCACGCGCCACCGTGCCTAGCCAATTTTTTGTATTTTGAGTAGAGACGGGGTTTCACCATGTTGAGCAGGAAGGTCTCGATCTCTCGACCTCTGATTCACCCGCCTCGGCCTCCCAAAGTGCTGGGATTACAGGCGTGAGCCACCGTGCCCGGCCAGTTTGTCATTGTTTCAAAAGCGATCTCTGTATGCTGCATCTGCTGTACCAGAGATGGGTGCTACAACCCCCTTTCCCGCCTAGCTTTCTTTTCACTGTCTTGATGGTGGCAGACATCTTGGGGGCCAGCTTGGCTGTCTGCACCATAGCTAGATGCCTGCCCACACCTGCCTGGAGCAGCCCGTTCTCCTACAGACCCCAAGACCTTGCCTGTGACTCTCCAGTGCCTGCTGCTTCTCAGCGTCCTCACTTCTCCCGTCAGTGCCTCCACCTGGCCTATGTCCCCCATACCTTTGAGGTCAGGATCCTCAATTCCTGGCACTGCTGCTCCCAGAAACAAAGACACGAGGGTTGGGACGTGCATGGCCCGGAGTCCCGCACAGTGGTGCCGCCTGTAGTGCCTCTAACCCCCTTTAGTGGAAGGCTGCAGAAAACACCGCTCAGTTCAGGTGTCACCCCGATTTTATGAAGTCCACAAACCTCTCTCTGCGCTTTGCAAGCACTTTCTCTTCCGAACGTTTGGAACCCGCCAGGGCCGGCTTCTCCTTCCAGCTGCCTCCTCGAGGACTGAACCTACGGTCGGTGGGGCCGGGACCCCTGCCCAGGGTCCCAGGGGCGCCTACCTGGCTCAGGGTCACGGCCAGAGGAGCCGCGGCCGAGGGTGGTGGTCGCCGGGCGAGGACCAGAGGCTGCTGCGGGCGGGGCGCGGCGTCGGCGGCTGGGTCTGGCGCCGTGTCCGAGGCGGGAGCGGGCGTGGAGGGTGCGCGCAAGGCCAGAGCGAGTCCGCGGGGCAGGCGGAGCTTGGGTCTTCCAGCGTCTGGCGAGACCGGCCCGGCCCGGGAAGGACGTTTTCCCAGAAGCCAAGTGAACTGGGCGGGGTGCGCGGGTCGGCGCTGGGTCGATGCCCGCGTTTAGGGGCCGGGTCTGGCCGCCTCTCCATCCCTGTCGGGTTATCGGGGTGCAGACCCGCGCGTCCCCGCCGACCCCGCGGGACAACCACCTCGCTTAATTCCCGTCCCTTTGGGCCGTCGCATTCGTCCACCTGCCCGTCTTTCCCTGCGCATAATTCCACGATGAGCAGATACTGGGCGCGGGCGCACGGTGGAGCGCCGCAGGGACCCCCCACTTCCCCCCGCGCCCCCAGGAGCTGGGTCGGGGGCGGGACCAGGGCCTGGCGGGGCGTGCCCGAGGGGAGGGACTCCCGGGCTGGGTGCCCGGCGCTGTCCGTGGCGCTCAGCGCCCGCGGGGCGCGTGAGGCCCGCACGCCATGGGGAACCGCAGCGCCGCGGACGCGGGCGGGCTGCTGGCGGGGCGCGGGCCGGGAGCGGGGCTGGCGGGGCCGGGTGCGGCGGCGCTGGTGGGGGGCGTGCTGCTCATCGGCGCGGTGCTCGCGGGGAACTCGCTCGTGTGCGTGAGCGTGGCCACCGAGCGCGCCCTGCAGACGCCCACCAACTCCTTCATCGTGAGCCTGGCGGCCGCCGACCTCCTGCTCGCGCTCCTGGTGCTGCCGCTGTTCGTCTACTCTGAGGTGAGCCGCGTCCGCGCCCGATCCCTTGTTCCCGGTCCCTGTCCCCGCGGAGGACCCGGCGCGACCCGGCCCCTTTCTGCTCTGGAGCTTCCAGCCCGGGCGGCGGCAGCTGCGCTCCGCCTGTTCCCACCACCGCCCCCTCGGGCCCTCCCACCCGCTGCGCTGTCCGTCCCGGACCCTCGTTCCACTCCTCCCTTCCCCCTCTGTGTTGGTGTCTGCTACCCAGGACATGCCCCGTCCTTGGATCCAGGGACCCCAGAAACAGACGACTTTGTCAAGCCCAGCCCCCTCCATAGCTGGATTTCACCCCCAGGGAAACCAGCTGGACAGACAGGCTCAGCCCCCTGGATGCCCTGGGACATGGACACAACACACACCGCGCACACACACACACCTGCAAACACACTGCGCGCACACACTGCACTCGGCCACAGCCACTGCCCACCACGCACACCCAGTGCAGACACTTGCACACCCCCACAAGGAGGCTCAGCTTGCAGGGGAGCAGGGGAGGCCTGGGCTGGACAGAATCCAGGGGAGGGGAGGGTGTGTGGGGGCCAGGACCCTGCTGAGAACCCTGGGGGATGAGAGAGAATTGGGGGATGGAGCCCACACCCCACACCAGGTCTGGCCCTGGAGTGGGTCGGCCTCGGTGCCAGCCCCTCTGCTGCCAGAGAAAAGCAGCTTAGGGCTGAGCTGGGGACGCGGTGTCCTGGACTATGGGGGAGGGGGACTGGGGTTTCCCCTCGGTGGCCACGGTGAGTCCTGGCGGCTGGGGCAGGGACCAGCAGCGCCAGACACGCATGACCTGTGCTCCTTTCGAGCCACAGACGTCACAGTGACGACGCTTAAGCTTATAATCTTCCCAAATCGGCGGGAAGGGATTAGGGGGACTACCTGCCCCTTTGCCCTTGGAGAGTAACTCCGTGTGGAGTACCACGCTGGGCATTGGGCGAGGTCGACACATTTTTTAAAACTAATTTATCTTTAAGACAATCGTCATGTGGATACTGCCATCACCCTTGTTACAGACGAGGAAGCAGAAACGAAGTAACCACCCGAACCTCCCGCACTGAGCCTCACCAGACAGTCTGGCTGGCGGTCTGAGGCTGGTCTGAGGCTGGTCAGCAGCCAGCTTCACGTTGCAGGCCCAGCGGGGACTCTGCCTACCCCAGGCTGGGCAGAGGGCTCTCCTTGAGCCCCATGACATCAGGCCCCGCCCCCAGGCCTTTCTCATGTTTGTAACAAGAGGGAGACCAAGTCCAGGAGAGTGACTCACGCCTGTAATCCCAGCACTTTGGAGGCCAAGGCAGGAGGATCACTGGAGCCCAGGAGTTTGAGACCAGCCCGGGAAACATACCAGACCCCGTCTGTACAAAAAGTTAAACAGGCAGGGCGCGGCGGCTCATGCCCGTAATCCCAGCACTTTGGGTGGCAAAGGAGGTGGATCAGGAGGTCAGGAGTTCGAGAGTAGCCTGGCCAACATGGTGAAACCGCGTCTCTCCTAAAAGTACAAAAATGAGTTGGGGGTGGTGGTGCACACCTGTAGTTCCAGCTACTCTGGATACTGAAGTGGGAAGATCACTTGATCCCAGAGTTCCAGGCTACAGTGAGTCACTGCACTCCAGCCTGGGCGACAGAAAGAGACCCCCACTGGAAAAAAAAAAAAAAAAAAAGGGCGACGTGAGTGGGGGAGGTGGTGTTTCTCTGCTCGATATTCAGCCCTGGAACCATCCATAAGAGCGAGGGTCACAAGGGCCCGGCAGTGGCTGTGAGGGTCCCTGGCCGCGCAGCGCGAGAAACCTCAGGTCTCGTGTTGCTGCGCCCTCGGTGTCCCGTGCAGGTGCAGGGCGGCGCGTGGCTGCTGAGCCCTCGCCTGTGCGACGCTCTCATGGCCATGGACGTCATGCTGTGCACCGCTTCCATCTTCAACCTGTGCGCCATCAGCGTGGACAGGTGCGCCGCCCTCCCCGCCCGCGCCCCCGCACCCCTCCCGCCGCCGCCGCCCTCACCGCGGCCTTCGCGCTGTCCCGCGCCCCCTCGGCGCTCCCCACAGGTTCGTGGCCGTGGCCGTGCCGCTGAGCTACAACCGCCAGGGTGGGAGCCGCCGGCAGCTGCTGCTCATCGGCGCCACGTGGCTGCTGTCCGCGGCGGTGGCGGCGCCGGTGCTGTGCGGCCTCAATGACGTGCGCGGCCGCGACCCCGCCGTGTGCCGCCTGGAGGACCGCGACTACGTGGTCTACTCGTCTGTGTGCTCCTTCTTCCTGCCCTGCCCGCTCATGCTGCTGCTCTACTGGGCCACGTTCCGCGGCCTGCGGCGCTGGGAGGTGACCCGTCGCGCCAAGCTGCACCGCCGCGCGCCACGCCGGCCCAGCTGCCCCCGCCCGCCTTACCCGGCGACCGGCCTCCCCGAGGACCCCTGCGGCCCCGACTGCGCGCCCCCCGCGCCCGGCCTCCACCAGGGCCCCTGCGGCCCGGACTGCGCGCCCCCCGCCCCCGGCCTCCCCCAGAACCCGCGTGGCCCCATCTGTGCGCCCTACGACAACGTCCAGGCCACTGAGCTCCCACCCCAGACCCCGCCGCAGACCCGCAGGAGGAGGCGTGCCAAGATCACCGGCCGGGAGCGCAAGGCCATGAGGGTCCTGCCGGTGGTGGTCGGTGGGTTCCCATTTTGGGGGACGGCGGGGGGAAAGGAGAGGAGTACAGGGCACAGAGGGCGGGGGGGCGCTGACGCGGCTCTCGGCGCCCCCAGGGGCCTTCCTGCTGTGCTGGACGCCCTTCTTCGTGGTGCACATCACGCAGGCGCTGTGTCCCGCCTGCTCCGTGCCCCCACGGCTGGTCAGCGCCGTCACTTGGCTGGGCTACGTCAACAGCGCCCTGAACCCCGTCATCTACACGGTCTTCAACGCCGAGTTCCGCAACGTCTTCCGCAAGGCCCTGCGTGCCTGCTGCTGAGCCGGGCACCGCCCCGCAGGCTGGGCGCCGCGCCCCAGGGACCAAGGAGATGGGAGGGCGGCTTTGTACGTTAATTAAACAAATTCCTTCCCAAACTCAGCTGTGAAGGTTCCTGGGGGTTGTGGGGAAAAGGGAGGAGGGGCTTCTGCCTCAGTTGCCCCAGACCCCCCAGCCAGTTAACCCCTTCCTTCCCGCCGAGGAGGCCCACAGACACCCCACTATCAGGCCCACTCAGTTTGCAGCGCCCTGGCCCAGCCTCCCCCTCTATGCAAGGGAGAGGAGGGAGGGGAGAGGAAATAGCATTCAGGAAGGCAAGGTGTCTCCTGGGCAGCCCAGTCCCAATGGGAAGAAATCAGCCACCAGGTCCTGCCCAGACCAACTCCCGCCTTAGCAGACCAGGCACAGGAGGCTCCAGACTGTCCCACAGAACCCCACAGGGGTGCTCAACCCATCATTTTAGAAGCTGCCTTGAGGCTGGGGCACAGCTTCCTGCCAGTCCCTGGGCAAGGATGCCCCAAGCCCCACAGGAAGGGGCCTGTGGTGCTGGGTGGGGCCCACCAAGGAGCTTCCCTGGAGGGGGCTCCATGCTCAGTCACCCTGGTGCCCAGCCAACCGCTGCCCAGCGTCCATACATGTGGGGGGGCCAAGGGGTGGGAGCAGGGAGGATTCAGCAGGGCGAGGGTGGGCAGTGGGGAGGGAATGGGCAGAGTGGGGGAAGGAATGGGCAGAGTGGGGAGGGAATGGGCAGAGCGGGGCTGGGATGGGCAGAGCAGAGCCAGGGGTAGACAGAGCCACCCAAGCTTCCTGTCTGCATTGGGTTGCCTGGCTCCCTCAACCATAGCGCAGCCCCCGACCCTGGGAGAGGCGGGGTGGCTCCCAGGGGCCTCCATGCAGGAACAGCCCACCCTGGACTGGATCCAGCTCTCTCCCAGACCCAGGCTATGGGAGAAAAGGGGGGGCCCTTCGCCTCCCAGTCCTGCTGGCTGGACCTTTCCTGTGCTGGGGATGCGGCTTCTGAGCCAGGGCAGCTGGCCGGGGTGCTGAGCTCCCATGGGAACAGAGACTCCAGGCTGTGCAGTCTACAGCGCGAGGCACTCCCTCAGCTTGCTAAACAGTCCGTGCAGGCTGCAGGCGGCGGTCACACCTGTAATCCCAGCTACTCGGGAGGCTGAGGCGGAAGGATCCCTTGAGGCTGGGAGGTTGAAGCTGCAGTGAGCTGAGATTGCGCCACTGCACTCCAGCCTGGGTGACAGAGTGAGACTCAGTCTCGAAAAAAAAAAAAGAAAAAAAAATCAGAATAAACCACTCGGTCCCAAGACACCCACAGACTCAAAAGACGGGGCCTCTATGGAGCCCATAGCCGGTGAGCCTCTCCCCGAGCACAGCACCTTCCAGGGTGCTCATGCCCAGCTGGGGCAGAAAGCGCTTCAGAAGACAGCATCAGAACCGCTGGCGCAGGTGCCTCCCGGCGCTGCTGACCCACCCCGGTGCCCACTGAGCTGTTGCTGGATCTGCACTTTCCTGCCTCAGGGCAGCGACAGCTGTGGAGCCTTCTGCGTGCAGGGAACACAGGCCACGAGGGAAGAGGTTTCCAGAACAAGAGTAATGCTGCTCCAGCAGGGCAGGTGGGTCCCATGTCCAGGCCCAGCCCAGCAGCTAAACATGCAGGATGCACCTGGTGCCCCCCGCAGCCTTCAGCCCCTTCTCTCCCCTCTGCCTGGTACCAGGGCCATGAGAAACAAGGAGACCAGGAGGACATGAGGCTGTGCGTGTGGAGGCTGGACCGAGGCCACCGCGCTGTCCACGTGATGAGGCTGTGCGTGTGGAGGCCTGACCGAGGCCACTGAGGTGTCCACATGTGCTAAACAGGCTACGCTGGGTCCTTGGGCTCACTCAGTCAGCCTGGGCACAGGAGGGCACCATGTGCCCCGAAGCCTGGCGTGACGCTCCCAGCAGCTGCGAGGCTCTTGTGGAACAGAAGGAATGAAGACTCTCCTGGACTACACGTGCCAGCCACTGGGCACCACACTTTGGCCGGTCACACTTCCCCATGCACTGGAGGTGTGGTGGACTCAGGCTGCCCACCTGCGTGGGCAGGAGGAAGGAGCCATCCCAGAGGGCTGGCACTGAAACTGGCCGCGTGGGAAGGGAGGCCTTATTTACACTTTATTGACAGACACACACGTATGTACATGCGTCACAGCACGCGCCCGTGGGCAAGACCGGACGCTCATGATCCTGGGGCTAAAAGTCTCTCCTGGAGCGGGCAGGGGCCCAGGCGGGGGGAGTCCGCTCCCCAGCGCACCATTACGTAAAGTTTCTTAATAACTTGTCCAGCAAGTTTCCTCACCTTCCCACACCCTCTTCTCAACGCCCCCCGAGGGTCCTTGCGGGGACTTCCACCTGCAAAAGCCTCGCAGGAGTGCAAGGGCGTCCAGCTCACAGGGCGGCTGGGGGAGCCTCACACGGTCACCTTCTCCATCACGCTCTCAGCCACGTGGACTTCGTCTGCCTGCACCGTGACAGCTGCTGACTGGCCACACATGTGCTGGTGATCTTTCCAGTCCTGGAAGGGAGGACACACCCACGTCAGCCAAGGTCAGGGGGTAGAGCAGGGCCTTTAAGTGGGACCTGGGCAGGGTCCCCGAGGTGGACCCCAGGCCCCCAACCCTAGCGGCTGCAGCCACGTGTGAGCTCACAGGGGTGCTGAGAGAATGCCCTCCCCAGCCCCGTGCACCTGCACTAGTGGCCTCTGCTCCAATCCTGCCTTCCCACTCTCTTGGTTTGAATCTCTTGGTTGGATCAAAAGGCAAGCAAGAGGCCGGCACAGTGCTCACCCTGTAATCCCAGAGCTCTGGGAGGCTGAGGTGTGCGGATCACCTGAGGTCAGGAGTTCAAGACCAGCCTGGCCAACATGGTGAAACTCCATCTCTACTAAAAATACAAAAATTAGTCAGGCGTGGTGGCAGGCACCTGTAATCCCAGCTATTTGGGAGGCTGAGGCAGGAGAACGCTTTGAACCCGGGAAGCAGAGACTGTAGTGAGCCGAGAGATAGTGCCACTGCACTCCCGCTGGGGCGACAGAGCGAGTCTCCATATCAAAAAAAAAGGCAAACAACAAACCAGGGTCCGACTCTGCAAACCAGCTGTTTTGTGTTCGGGGTGTAACAAAGAGTATCACACACGCAGAGAAACATTTGCATATGTACATATTACATATGTAAATTTCAATCCAGTTCTGTTTTTGTTTTGTTTTTTGAGATGGAGTTTCCCTCTTCTTGCCCAGGTTGGAGGGCAATGTTGCAATCTCAGGTCACTGTGCAACCTCCACCTCTGGGCTCAAGCGATTCTCCTGCCTCAGCCTCCTGAGTGTCTGGATTACAGGTGCGTGCCTCCACACCCGGCCAATTTTTGTATTTTTAGTAGAGATGGGGTTTCGCCATGTCGGCCAGGCTGGTCTCAAACTCCTGACGTCAGGTGGTCCGCACGCCTTGGCCTCCCGAGTGCTGGGATTACAGGCGTGAGCCACCGCCCCGGCTCCAGTTGTTTTTAAGGGCAAAGATGAAAAAGGGCTGCAGAGGGGCTTGTGGCTGCAGCTCTGCAGAAAGGAAGTCGGGGATGGTGCCTGGCAGAAGCCAGTGAATCGGTCAGCACGGGACCAGGCCCCCACCGCCTGCTACATGGAGTGCCTCGGCACAGAGCAGAGCTCTCGAGGAGGCGCCTGGTGCTGACACGCAGGTGGCCTTGTCAGACGGAGGCAGCCCTGTGCATGGGGGCATGCTAGGTGCGATAAAACACACAGAACAGAAATAAACACGTCCAAATGGTGACAGGTATTTCCTGGATGGCAGGATTCCCGATAATCATAATAAAAAGGCAAAATTAGGCCAGGTGCCGTGGCTCACGCCGGTAACCCTAGCACGATGGGAGGTGCCGTGGCTCACGCCTGTAACCCTAGCACGATGGGAGGTGCCGTGGCTCACACCTGTAATCCTAGCACGATGGGAGGTGCCGTGGCTCACACCTGTAATCCTAGCACGATGGGAGGTGCCGTGGCTCACGCCTGTAACCCTAGCACGATGGGAGGTGCCGTGGCTCACACCTGTAACCCTAGCACGATGGGAGGTGCCGTGGCTCACGCCTGTAACCCTAGCACGATGGGAGGTGCCGTGGCTCACACCTGTAATCCTAGCACGATGGGAGGTGCCGTGGCTCACGCCTGTAACCCTAGCACGATGGGAGGTGCCGTGGCTCACACCTGTAACCCTAGCACGATGGGAGGTGCCATGGCTCACACCTGTAACCCTAGCACGATGGGAGGTGCCGTGGCTCACGCCTGTAACCCTAGCACGATGGGAGGTGCCGTGGCTCACACCTGTAATCCTAGCACGATGGGAGGTGCCGTGGCTCACACCTGTAACCCTAGCACGATGGGAGGTGCCGTGGCTCACGCCTGTAACCCTAGCACGATGGGAGGTGCCGTGGCTCACACCTGTAATCCTAGCACGATGGGAGGTGCCGTGGCTCACGCCTGTAACCCTAGCACGATGGGAGGTGCCGTGGCTCACGCCTGTAATCCTAGCACGATGGGAGGTGCCGTGGCTCACACCTGTAACCCTAGCACGATGGGAGGTGCCGTGGCTCACGCCTGTAACCCTAGCACGATGGGAGGTGCCGTGGCTCACACCTGTAACCCTAGCACGATGGGAGGTGCCGTGGCTCACACCTGTAACCCTAGCACGATGGGAGGTGCCGTGGCTCACGCCTGTAACCCTAGCACGATGGGAGGTGCCATGGCTCATGCCTGTAATCCTAGCACGATGGGAGGTGCCGTGGCTCACACCTGTAATCCTAGCACGATGGGAGGTGCCATGGCTCACACCTGTAACCCTAGCACGATGGGAGGTGCCATGGCTCACACCTGTAACCCTAGCACGATGGGAGGTGCCGTGGCTCACACCTGTAACCCTAGCACGATGGGAGGTGCCGTGGCTCACACCTGTAACCCTAGCACGATGGGAGGTGCCGTGGCTCACACCTGTAATCCTAGCACGATGGGAGGTGCCATGGCTCACACCTGTAACCCTAGCACGAT